CGGCTCTCCGCGCTGCTTGGCTAAAAATAGTCTTTTGTGAGTTGTCACAGCGTGGAGGACAAAAAAAACAAAACCTCGTCGGAGCCGTAAGGGTTAACGATAACATAATACGCTGATCATGGGCTGCTTTTAAATGAAAATGTATTTATAAAACAAAATATCTTCTTTCGCCATATTAGCCCACTTAATAGCATTAACACAGGCTTTACTCCTTTTAAACTTTATCTCAGCTGAGCAGGTTCTCTTTATAAGCAGATGTTGTCTGTAGCGTCTGGTGCTGTTTTTGGCAGGGCTGTTCGGCGGAGAGAATATAGCCGTCTGTAAGCCTTAGCGTGTGGGCAAGAACGCTAGTGAGGTTGAGCTGCCCCTGTACAAGCAAGCTGTGCCACCTTGAACCTTTGTTTCCAAATCAGCAGTTTGCCTACAGCACTGATCATTAGCAGAGCAAGTCTAGGGAGGCCGTCGTCAGCGCTATCTCCAGGGGCTTCATTAGGGACTGCTGTCTAGGCTGTCAGTAAATTTGATAGAACGTGTTTATCACTGTTGCCCCGCACAACACGAGCAACAAATTGGGCGTACGAGTATGGCACGCACCTTATCTGCCTTTTGTCAAAGCAGCCAGCATCTTGTGCTTTTGCGTAGCTGAGCAGGTTCTCTTTATAAGCAGATGTTGTCTGTAGCGTCTGGTGCTGTTTTTGGCAGGGCTGTTCGGCGGAGAGAATATAGCCGTCTGTAAGCCTTAGCGTGTGGGCAAGAACGCTAGTGAGGTTGAGCTGCCCCTGTACAAGCAAGCTGTGCCACCTTGAACCTTTGTTTCCAAATCAGCAGTTTGCCTACAGCACTGATCATTAGCAGAGCAAGTCTAGGGAGGCCGTCGTCAGCGCTATCTCCAGGGGCTTCATTAGGGACTGCTGAGAGAAAACATCTTACTGGCCGAGAGGCCTGGGTGCAGGGGTTCACAATCCAGAAAAGTCAAGCACCTAGAGGAACATCGTAACGCTGACAGCTCTGAAAGCTCTCTTTAGATGATCTGGAGTTGAGGGCATGTTTCTGTAGGGTTATGGCCTAACTTTACACCATAGGCGATGCTAGACATGTATTCTGTGATTATGTAACAGTTCAGAGCATCGACTGTGGGTCCATACAGTTATTGGTGGACATAGACAGAATTGAGAGGGGGGGGGGGATGGGGGATTGGGAAAGGACCGCGAGATGGGGCTCAAACTAAGGTAATCCAAAACGCAACATATGTCGCGCACTGTCCACAAGGCTATCGGCACCAACAAACACCGGTTTTAAGCAAAAAAAGAGTGTAATGGATTTGCACAACAAACAAACATGAACAAAGTAGAATAGATCAGGCTTATTATACTACTTATACTACATACGGGGAGATCCACAGCTGGAAAGATGGGCTTTTAATAAAACTTGGCTGTCAATGCAGGAGAAACATGAAAACATATGAAATCGAAAGTGCGTGACTAGAGAAAATAGAGATAAAGGGCCATGGTGTTTGGCGTTTATCCAACGGTCTGTGGGTGGAGGTATAAAAATTTGATCTGTAGTAGTTTTAAGAAAACCTCAGAACCGGTCAAAAGTCAGCAAAAATTGTCAGCAAAAGTCTGCTAGATGCAAAATCTTATATAAAAATTATATATATTATTATATAA